GGGCTGGGAGCCGGGTCGGCGCGCAGCTGCGGCTCTGAGCCTGGCGCACCGCGTGCTCGACGGGGCGGGCTCAGGGCCGGAGCCCGCGCTCTACAGGTGCGGCCTCGGAGCTGGGCCGGCGATAGGGTCTCCGCGGCTTCAGGGATCTCCCTTCCTTGTCACCATCTTTGCCAGCTCAGAGAATGAGAAACAGGGAGGTGGGAGGTGGCTCCTAGACTTGACTTTTCTGGGTGTGGAGGAGAATGGGTGTCTGTCCCCCATTCTCTTGGAGGATCCTATTAGATTTTCTCTGTGGGCGTTTGTCCATACCCGGGGACGTTTAGCCTTGCCCCAGGGTGGAAGATAGGAGCTCCTAGGCCTGGAAGATGCTCTGAGTGCCTTCGAGAGTTGAGCATGAAGGGTCTCTCAGGCCTCGAGTCCTCCCGCTCTGTATCTGGTGGCGGATGCGGCGTCCTTTTAGCTGCTAGAGCCGTTAACCCTGTCACCCGCTGGCTGCGTAGATTATCTTTTCTCCCAGTCTGCGCCCCCCGGACAGAGTGGATGTCAGCCCATCCTCAGCCTCACCCCTTCCTTCCTCGTGGGTTCCGGCTCCCCACCAGCCGTGCCCTGAAGGGAGAGTCGGGTGTCTGCCCCTCCTCGGTGCCCCCCAGTCAGTCTAGCCGAGGGAGGGACACTCTTGTGGTCCCACCTCAAGAGAGCCCGAGTCGCCCCGGGGGACCCACATCGACGTGCCTTCCCAGCGTCGAGTCTCCAGCTCCGAGGGTAGATCATTTCCACCCTCTGCCCTGCCTCAGTTTCTCCATCTCCCCACTGCAGCCCCGAGGAGCTGGGCCCCCTTGAGCCGTGCATGGCCCGCGCCGCGCTCCGAGGCCCCGCGCCAGGCCGTGCCGCCGTCTTCCTCAAGTACGCTCGGCCCCAGCGCCAGGGCACCAGCCTTGCCGCCGCCCTCCTGCTCCGCAGCTCCCAGCCGGGACCTCCCTGAGCGCGGAGACTCAGTCAGAACCCCCCACGAAACCCTCAATGTGTGTCCGTCTCTCGCTTCAATAAAACAAGTTTGTTTTATTCTGGGCGCTCTCTGTCCTCATTGGCCGAATTCCTGTTTCTTCTCGCTTTTGATTGGTCACGGTCTAGCCCTCTCCTTCCCCTGATTGGGTGTTCTTACCACGCCCCTTACTGGCTGCTGGAAGATGAGATGTAAATTCTGAACTCCTCCACGAGGGGGCGCTGGCGGACTTCCCCAAGCGCCACTGAGCAGGACGCAGCGGGGATCCCCTCAGAGTTGGAAAGAAATCTCAAGGGATCGGACTGCGGAGAACCGAGAGATACCTCGATGTTGCCAGATTTTCAGATTTTATTAAAACTGGAAACCTGCAATTCCACAAATCTGTCTGCGTTTATATGTTGCCACCTAATTCAATATTTTTTCAGGGGACAAGTCCCACACATCACACATGCTGGCCTGTGAAGCTCATCAGTTTGTAACAGTAAGAGTCCTTGGCAGTAAGCGTTCGACAGATGGGGTCAGATTTACTTAACCTCTCAACCAGTATAATGCCGACCTCACCGAGGTGTGGTGAGGACGCGATTTAATGTATTCCTCAAGTTTTAGGACAATGCCTGACAGCTAGTCGGTGTTGTAAAAGCGTTAGCATTGAGTTCTCGCAGGACTGATTTAGGTCCACTTGTCTTCTGCTACTGTGCTCCGGTACCCAGCCATTTACTTGGTCTGAAAACATTTGCTATGACTCAGCGGATATCCACGTTTTAAATTCACACACACACACCCCTGCAGAGGTGGAGAAAGGTGAACACACTGCTCGAGAATTCAAACTTAGGAGTTTTAGACTCCTCATAAGCCTGGGATTGAGGGTGCAAAGTGGAAGCTGTTTCTGTCCCTGAGGTGTTCAAGATTGGACATGGGAGAGAAAGTCATTCAGCAAAAGCATTTTATAGCAAAGTATAATAAGAGACAGAGGCAGATGCTGCTGTCGCGATGCAAGGTGCTGAGTCCAGGTTTCTGCTTGTTGGATAGGACGTGCCATGGGACCTCCAGGGGGAGGGTGTTCTGTGGGCTGGGGATGGGAAGAGTTGGCGACATGGGCTTGGGACTGAGACCCAAACTAGGGTCTTGAGGGGTGGGGAACAAGTGGTAATATATAAAGCTATTTGCTCGATCATTCAGCAGCTATATGTAGATGCTGACTCAAAGCCAGGCCCATATGATCACGTGACCTGGAGCCTAATGGACTATAAGAAACACCAGTTGTTAATTATCTTTGCTGTATGAGGCCCTTTGCTAAGTGCTTTGCCTGTGTAATATCATTTAGTCCCTGCAACTCTGAGGTCAACCCGTTTGTTATCTTCATGTCACAGAGAAAGTCAAAGAATAGGAAGATCGAGGAACTTGGCCAAATTCCCACAGTTAAGTAGGCAGCCAAGGAGGCTCGAGACCAGTCACCTCAGTCACTGGTCTCAGTTTTTCTCTCAGAAACCTCTCACACACTCTCTTTCCTGAGCACCCTTTTGTTATTGTGTGACTTACCTTGCCACTGACTGGGAACCTGTTTGCCTTCTCACTGGATGCCCCCTAGGCTGTGACCTGGACAAGGCAAGAAGCAGATCTCTATTGTTTATAGAGTTTACCCCTCCTCCAGGGAACCTTCCCTCATCACCCCAGTTCAGGGCAGATGCCTCCTCCGGGCCCTCACAGCCTGTTGTGCTCACCCTATCCCGGCCCAGCCCCCACGTCTGTGCCCTCTTCACCCCCGTCCTCACCCTGTGCTTCCCTGGCTAACCCTCTCAGGGCTGCCACTATCTGGTCACTGGTCTGTCTACCCACTGGACAGGGGGCCCAGGGAGGGTAGGGTCTGGAGCTCTCTGTCTCGGTTATGTCCCTCATCTCCCAGCACAGAGCCAGGCACACAAAAGACATCAGTGAATATGAACCCAAAAGTTGATATTATGGTCCCACGTTACTGACAAGGACACGGAGTGCCAGGTAATTGAAGGGAGTTGTCCGAGTCATACAACTAGTGAGAAAATAAGCAGCGATTTGAATTTGGGCGGCTCAGGTCCCCTACCCTGTGTTCTCAGCCAAGATGCCAAGTGGCTAGTGGGCTGAAAGCCAGTTTTCCGTGAGCTTCTGCTCTTTTCCCAGGCTCGTCCTTTCCTTCTAAAAATTTGTGGGAGCTTTGAGCACGGAGGCGGAGAGCAGGCAGGAGGCTGGAGAGGTAAGGGGAGTGGGAACAAGGGAGAGGCCGGCTGGAGAACTGTGACTCGGGCTGATTTGAAGGCGAGCACGGGGGACGCCTTGAGGGGTTTCCTCTAGACCCATAGGGGGCAGCCGGAGTCGGCAGCCGGAGGTGCGGGGGCGGGGAAAGGG